TGAACCCATGGCTATGAGGAGGATAACAACGTTGTTGGATAAGGGGCTTCCATCATCATCGTCCATGGGTTATGTGATTATTCGAGAAAGAAATGTGCCATTCATCTGAATTCATACTTATATAAAGTGACAAAGCCGGCCGAAAACGACACGGGCTCGAGTTAATTAATTTGACGCTGAATGCAAGAGCTTGTTTTTATTTAATGCCTTCTGATTGGTTTTCTAGATTTGGTTTTTTATATGAATAAATACAACGAGGCATGAAGTGAATGAAAAGAAACAAACAGAAACCGAGAAGCAATCATCAGGATAACCATGATCTGTTTTTTCACCTTTTTATTTTTGCTCTAACCATTGACACAATTCAGGTATGATTTTCTTCTATCGAAGTGTGTATAAATTTAGTGTTTGGTTGAATCACCTGCAATGAAAGTTTCTTTTTTGTTGGTAATAAATTGAAAAGAAATATTACTAGTGAAACTTTCTGAATTGCAATTCGAAAAGTTTTAGTTCAAGCTGACAATACTTAAATACAATAATTATATTTATAGACTATCTCTGAAGTAGATATCATTAGAAGTTACTCGTATACATAAAATGTCCGTATGCCCGTTATTTAATGCATACTGCATGGACGGGACAAAGATAACTCCAACAATAAGGTTTCTGCCGTTCAAACGCGTTATATTGTATATGTATAAAATCATAGCCATGCAGTTTAAATATAATAAGATGCTTGGAACAAATAAAATCCAACTACTTCCTCCCATGTATAAGAAGACAGTGCAATGATATTCCTAGGTGTGGATGGACCGTACACGTCAGATTCTCTTTGGTCTTGCTAAGTACTAACTCTCAACATGTGCCATGTGGCATACAGGATTTTTTTTAAAAAAAAAATTAAGAAACCCTAAACTAATTTTCAACTTTTCCACTAAAATTGATGTGGGGAAAATCACTTGTCATTTGTCAAACTGAAATCAAAATCCCTGATTATCATCATTTAAATAAATTCAACAGAAAAATTAAAAAAATCAATGATCCATATATCAATCTAATGTATCTTATTGATCTCCTGACAAGGAACTGTACTCTAATTTCTAAACCTTGTCTTAGTTAAATAAAAAATATTATAAGACAGGACAACTGAAAAATGGAAGAAGCCGAAACAGTCCACCATGAGACACATGCCACATACAAAGACAAGACAGGCAGGCAAACAAAATAGGAAAAAGGAAATGGATATGGAAATGGTGTGTGTATGTTTCTTTACTGATTAGTGATATAATGCATCTTAACCGTTATTCTTGTTTTTTAGGCTTGTCACGTATTATCAGTGGTTACAAATTCATTTAAGATGGATGCCCACGTGGGGGAGGGAAGAATATATTTAAGATGCCAACACAAGCAGCAGCGGTATGATTTCATTTCACAGGGATATCCAACTACCACTTTTATGAATTGAAACAATATACATACCCACAAGAGATAACTTGTTAGCTTAAGAGGTGAGGCTTTCCTACAGCTACCAGCCTCTCAGATTCTATTGAACAAAAGGATATCTAGAAATATAATATTCTCTTACACGAGATGCACCTTCCCTTGACAGAATCCCCTCGAGATCACCAATAATTCTGGCCAACCATATCTCCAGGTTTCGCTGGATTTCTTTGAAGTTGTTCCTAATAGAGTCCAGAGACCGTCTTGTGGTCAATGAGGTCTCACCTATCAAGTCATCCCTGTAATGGCTCTTCCCAATTTCAGTTTGCAAAGCCATTAGCTTCTGTCCTGTTTCCGATGCCCCCTGTTGAAGTCGATATGCTTCCAGTAAAAACTCTGTTTGAGTTTGGGTTTGAAATTCTGAACTGAGAGAGGACTCGGTCGGATCATTAGCCTGCTCAAAAGGAAATATGTCAGGCCCAAAATGAAAAATGGTCTTACAAGACAGGGAAACTTGGTCCAACTTTAACTAAATGAAGCAATAAAAGATCATGTTAGCAGAAGAAGGCCTGCAGTGGGCCTGTTTTTTGGGTGGAAAATGCATGCATAGTAGTTGATGCATCTACCTAAAGTAAACTTCAAATCTAACTTTCTTACAATGCTTGATCCATAATGTTGTGTATCATGCTTGCATGAAGTACAAAATTGCGATCCCATTTGAGCACAATAAATAATGCAAGCTATCAGTTTTCATCTCCTGGGATGAAACAGTTGATAGCCAGACAACCATCCATAAATATATAATCAGTTAGAAAAATGTTTGCTCCACCCACCAGACAGTCGTCACCTTTGGTTTATACAAATATATATCGCGTGGAATAAATATGCTATTCATGCACACAACCATCAACTTGGGACCAATGATAAATTATATCAGCAGGTTGAAATATCAGACAATTTATTATCAGAGAATCACCATGATTCATACTTCTTCAATGGAGTGTTATAGGACATAAACCAACTGACAGAAAGTACGAATGAAGTTTATTGCAAGGCAGTCGACATTACGCAATTTACATATCATCTGACATCAAAAGACACATTTCAAAAAATACAGGTAGGTGTCTTAAAATAAATAGAGGTTGTCTAAGACTTTAAAAGGATGATTATGATTCCAATTTACAGATTAATTATAATTTGCAAAATAGCAAAACCTAAAACAAAAAAACAATAAAGCACGAGTAACTTACTATTCTGCTGCACAAATCATCGATTTTTTCTGAAAGCGCTTGATATCTCTTTGCCTGCTTCTTAATCAAGGATGACACCTTGGATGGATCATTCTTACCAATCTTCTCCAGATTCAATAACTCCTGTTCAAGTAATTTAAGTTTAGAGGAAACTCCGGCAGAATCACCATCTACCTTCCACGGAGACTCCCTTCTGGAGAAAAAAAATTACCCTTACTTTTAGTTGGAGAATAATTCCCAATACGACAGAAGTTATCTGCATTTAAACTATAAATTGTTTACCTTGCAACAAAATGCTTTGCATTATACATTGATTCAAGGGATTCGTACTGTACATCCTGCAAGATTAAACATTTATAGGTCAGAAATTCACAAAAAAGTTTATGGACGAGTAGTTTCTTATAAGTTGCCAAGTAAATTACATTGAAAACCAACAACATAGTGGTTTTTATTTCTAGTGGAATAAATAGTTATACGAAGTCAAATGACCTTAGGTCTTAACGTTACTTTTTTTAAAAAAAATATCTCCTTCCCTAGTGCCTATTAAGATTTTAGGTAGGGTGGTTCTTAGATACCTTCCAAAAGTAAGAGTTCGGATTGAAGATGATCACTAATCTGCAATGTCAAATAGTTGAAGGGTGATCAATGGATTTTAATAAAAACCTAGTTATCTTAGGCCATCCCATGTGATTTATTTGGCTTTTGTATGTTAGAGGGGTAATTTTTTCAAAAATTCTCAAAATGGCTAGGTTTTTAAAAAAAATTCTCAAAATGGGTAAGTCATGTTTATAAACACGACTTTCATTATTTTAATATTTTTAAAAATGACAAAGTCGTGATTGAGGACGCAACTTGTCTTATTTAATCACGCAACTTTGTCATTTTAAAAATATTAAAATAACGAATTGTGTTTATAAACAAGACTTACCATTTTGAGAATTTTTTAAAAAACTATCCCTCTGACATACAAAGACCGATTTATTTATTGGCTGACAATACTCAACAAAACCATCTTTCAGAAACAAACAACCAAACAATAGTGCTGAAGAGACAATTTAATCAAGAGAACAGGGAGTGAATAAACGGGATAACTACTCAATACTCATGTAGTGCACAAGATACTACGGCGAAAAAAATCGAATTGACCGCAAGTCCGCAACAAACACCTAGGCCCTGTGCATACTATAATTTCAAAATCAATACATACTAAGGGTGTGTTTAGATTAACAAAGGTCGCATTTTTTCACTTCTGCTCAAACCATAATAAAGGACCCAAATTCAAGTGCAAACACAAGTCAATCACAAGTTTGCTAAACATGATATTTATGGATGAATCTCAATTTACAGTGTCTAAAGTCTAGACAACAGTTTGGGGTATGCAATAAACCAAACATGCATCAAGCCATCAACCAACCACAATATCAGTGGCTTGAGCAATTAACAACCATGTCTCCAGCACAGACAATAAACAACCCAGAGAATAAAGCCCCTAGCTTTCAGCACTGGATAAGAATGGTGACTACTGCCTGCTGAAAGTAAAGTGGACCAGACATGCTGAGCAACATAACATGCAATAGGGGACAGATTGCTACCAAGCAAAGGACAGAAACAGACAAATAACAAATGGATGGTCCATGGCTCCACCGTGATGAAACACTATGAACCTAACCAACTCCATCTAAACTCCAAAGTAAAGAAAAGGCCTCTCGGACCCCCTAGTTGCCATTCCTTTTCCTCATGCAAAAGTCATGTCTAACACAAAAGTTCTGCCGTACAGGAACCTCCTAAAGCCTATAACCTTGAAAATCGAGCAAAAAGTGGTGCGGTAAAAGAACAGTCCACGAGGTTAGAAACACCTTGACCCAGAATCCTAAAACCTTGAAAAAGAACCAAAGCTTTTCGCCGTAATCCATTTTTTATTCATCATAAAGTATCAATTACCAACCACTTTTGAAGAAAAATAAATTAGCTTGCCCTTATATATGCTCTTTGCCCGCAAATAAATTTTGTCATTAATGCGACATACGTAAACATGGAAGCGTTTTTTTTTTTTTAGAGAGAAAAATAAAAATAAAATTGTAATAATTTATTTCATAGGATTAAAACCAACTTATTCATGAATTAAATATATACTTTTGACTAAATTAATAAAAGAGTTTATGCAAATTAACTAATGCATAAATTAATTTTAATTTATAAAAATATATATATTTATTTTCAGTTTTTATTTTTCTATTCTTTGGTTTGGGATAACCCCCTCAAGGCTAATTATTTTGGAGAACTAAAAATAAGCATTGTCCTATTGAAATGACAACTTATAAATAAATGAATTAAAAATGCAAGTGGCATTTTCTTCTGTTTGCTTTATACTACTTTGAATTGTCTGATGCATGTGTTGATAAAGAAGCTTTACCGAAAAGTAAGAGACAAAAAGCTATTACTATTATTTAATTAACGAGAATAATGTAATCTAAACACGGGCATGTAAAAATTCAGTGAAAAAAGGCAATGAAATTACACTAGACAAACCTGCCACAGCGAGGGTTTCTCAGCCCAGAACTTAGAAGCAGAAGCCACAAAGTCAGAATCAAAGGCATTGTTCCCAAACTGGTGAGTATGCTGTTCATAGATAACCTCAAGCTGCTCCTCCTCCTCCTCCTCCTCCTCCTCTTCGACGTGCCTAGTGGACCCCACCATGTCCTCTTCCTCTTCCCACTCTCTACTCTTCTTACCGTGGAGCTCCGTCCCACCGAATCCCTCCTCCTCGATCCTCCTTGACATGAACCCTATCATCTCGTCGCGGTCGGCGAGCTCCTTGTGGGCGCGGGCGGAGGCGTCCTCGAGGTCGGCGACGCGGCGGCGGAGGCGCGCGATCTCGTCGGCGGCGGCGTCGATCTGGTGCAGGAGGCGCTTCTCCTCGGCCTGCCAGGCGTTGCGGTGAGAGGCGAAGATCTCGACGACGCGGGCGTTGGCCTTGGAGTCCTCGTGGCGGCGGGACTTCATCTGGCGGAGCTCATCCTCGGCGGCGGCGGCCCGGAGGGAGAGGGCGCGGACCTTGGCCTGCAGCGCGGGGACGGAGGTGTTGGCGAGGAGCGCGAGGGACATGGAGAAGCTGAGGCCCATGTAGGAGCGGAAGAGCTTCTGGTGAGGCTCTTCTTCCGCCATTGCCACGAGGGTTTCGTTTCTGCGACTGCGAGCGTTTGGTTGTGTGTAGTTTCAGAAGTCGCGAAAAAGCTTTTTGTCGTTTGCTTTGGGTGCTTTTTTGTCTTCTTTGCTGCTTAAGTACTTGTACTAATTTGTTCCATGCCTTTTAAATTTAATTCAATCTTATCACATTTATTATACTCTCATTATATTTTATTTATATAATATGGAAACAAATTTAATTCAAACTTTTTTTTAATGAAATACACCTTTCCTGATGGAAATATATAATTCAAATTTATTTAACTGTGAATGTCAATCCTGTTCAATAATTTCAAACTAATTTTATTTATGAAATTATACAAGAAAAAATAATTGTTTATTCTTCGTTTTCAGAAGGAGTAAAAAAGAGAGGAACAAAAACAGATCGAAAAATAAGAATAAAGTAAATAAAATATAATAGAAAGAATGTTATTTGAACAGTTAAAAATGAAAAGTAAAATAGTGACTATTTACTTGTTTAATTGAGTGAAAAATAAATTATAAATGAATGTTGCAAAAAGAAACCTATTATATTAATTTAAAAATTAAAATTAACTTTAAAATGAAAGTTTTTCTTAGATTATTTTCTAATATCTTTTATTTTTATACGATAAAGATAATTTAATTTTTGAACATTTAAAAATAAAAATAAAATATCAAGAAAAATTTTTCATTGTAAATCTTGTTTCAAAAAAAAATCTTTACTCTTTTTCACTTATTCAAAATACTAAATTTAAGTATATTTGACAAGATATTTAAAAGATTCATAATTTTTTTATTAACTTATAATTTAGTTAAATTAAAATAAATATATTTGATATGATAATTTATTTTAAGAATTTATAATTTATTTTTATAAATTAATTAAAATAATTTATAACTTATGACTTATAAGTCCTTAGAATGACATATAAGTTAATTTTATTAAACATATATTTAATAAGAAGATATATTCAAAAAGAACATGTTTTATTATGAATATGAAAAATGAAAATATTAAATAATAGTCATTAGATTAAAATTATAATTAATAGTTAATAGTTGAAATTAAAGTTTAATTATAAATATTTATTTATAATATTATTATAATTATTATCTTTATAATTATCACTATTATTATTACTATCATCTATCATTATTATATATTATTATTGTCACATGATAATAAAAAATATATTTATAACAATGATATTAACAATGATAATAATAATAATATAAGATGATAACAGTCACTTTATTATCATTTAATATTATCATGATCTTTATTGTATCAATAATAATGATAAAAATAATAATAATAATTAATGTGATAATGAATATAATTGTGAAAATGATTATAGAAATAATTTATAATAAAATATTAATAAATGAAGTTTATTTTTAATAACTATTTATTTATATATTTAACTAAATAATCATGTTTATAATAATATTTATTTTGTTATTTTATTTCCCGAATGATCCCAATAAGACACATTATTAATCTGAAACTTTTTCAAAGTGTGATGTAACAAGAGAGAGTAGGAAGTAGGAAGTGTAAAATGAGTTTGTGAATTCACTTTTTGCTATTAAGAGCTGCAAAGAGAAAGGTGGCTCAATCGTGTGCCGCGTGTCCCCATAATGGTATCTTCGGAAAATGAAAATGACAGAGGGAAGGGGTAACTTCGTCTTCTATAGAGGTAAGTTTCAGAGCAGTTTTATATGGTCCTAGGTTTTACTAGCATATATAATCTTATACATTGTTAGTGTAAAAAAAATTTATATTGATAATTAATTAAAATTATTAATAATATTTTTTTATTTACTCATTTAATTAAATTAAAATAAAATATATATTATTAATAATTTTGATTAATTATTAATAAAATTTTTACATTAATAATATATAAGTGATTAACTCTTACTATTATTTTTTTTATATAACTATTCTCAAATATATCTACCCAAACTATTTTTTGTTAGAAAATTGGTGGTTTTATGATGTCATTAAATGTGGAGTTCCATTTCGATTTGCTAACAAAATACTGTTTGTAATCCCTGCCATTGCTTCTTGTCTTATGGATAAGAATTTCCTATCACATGGTCATATTCCTTTTTTTATCTTGATTACTACATTTTATTTGTATAATATTTATATGTAAAAAGAATAACAAATTTTTTATCTTAATAAAATAATTATGAAATTTTCAATTTCATTTTTTTTATTCAATCTTATTATGAATAATATTTTTTTTATTTTCAATTTCTTAATAAATGTAAGATACAAAGATATAAGTCACAAAAGAGTAATTAATATTATTTTAGAATTTAAAAATGATATATAAATAGTAACAAAAATATGTTCTAAAGTTATGACTGGTAAACGGAGGGAGTTTAAGATTTAATTAATTAATTTATTAAGATTAAAATATAGTTTTGTAATAAATATGATTTAATTATTTTTTTTCAAAACTACTTCTAAATTTATGACACACTTATTATATATTTTTAAAGTTTTTGCCTTTTAAAAATAAAAATGTGACTATTTATATTTTAAGAAACATTAAATAAATGAATTCTACTTATTTATTAAAATTAATAAATTAATTTAATAAGGTTATTTTTGTAAAAAATAACTTAATGTTTGAGACATACTCCTTCAATCTCACACTGATTGTTATTTTATCATTTGAAAATTGTTCAAAATTAAATGATGTTATCAGTTTTTAAAGTAATATTAATTTTTTTTTGTAATTTGTTTTTTCCTAAATTATTTAACCATCACAATTAAAAATAGGCTAAAAACCTATTTTGGTCCCTTATAATCTTTTTGTTTCAATTTAGTCTCTTATTAATTTTTTGGTCTCAATTTGGTCCTAAACTAATTAATTGGTT